TATATCATTTCAAGCATGTATCAACAATTCAACAACACTTACCGTTCTCTTGATGATATTTTTCGTTAAATAATCAAGACGTTTCCAAATATACTGCCAAAATTTACCCAAAGGAACTTTCTTTAAGTAAATCAAATACAAACGGTAATACCTGTCCTTTCCTAGATATAGATATTTCAGTTTTACACGGGAAACTCTACACTTAAAATTTACGACAAAAGGGACGATTTTTCGTTCCCAATTGTTAATTTTCCTTTTTTTGCATGGTGATGTTCCTTTGGCACCATCTTACGGTTTGTATATATCACAATCTCGCTATGCCCGTGTTTGTTGTAACGTTTTGGATGTTAATGAACGTAATCCACTAGTGAATTATTAAGTCCGGGATTTTGTTACCATAAATTACTTAAAACTTTTACTAAATTCTTCCATAGATATAAATATATGGTTTTGAAGTTAGGTTGTACCTGTAGAAAACTATTTCAAAAGGGATAGCACATCCTTATTTTTACGGAGATGTTGTTTACCAAGCCCGGACATTTAGAAATAATCCGGGTAAACTAATCTATCCTTTAAATAAACTTTTCCCCATTTCCATTCTCAATTTTATTATTCTAAAAGGTTACCAATTCACCACTGTAATTAGATCTTTGAGTATTATGGCTCTGCAATCTGTCGAAACCTGTATCTTGGCATTGCACAAAGTCATGTTTTTCTTTGACTGTTTATGACGTCTTTACACTAAATCCAATGGATGTTTGATGGGTACTGATTGATTATTAAGTCTTAGATGTATGATTTTTTTTTATTTGTTGTAATTCGCTTTGAATGTCGGTAACTGCGAGTACTGATGTGTAATTTTGTTGTTGGGATATACAAGTCCCGTCCACGTCCACTCTGTGTTTTTTTAAATGAATTTCTATTTGTATCCATCTGATGAGTTAAGCCTTTTTCAACTGATTTTTATATTTTGTTCTTATGTTGTACTGTTACACCACTGTCCCAGGTTAGAGGGAGGGTTGGGCGCCCGCTAACATGTTTATCCCCGCCACATTCTCTATGTGCCTGTCCCAAGTTATTGAGTGGTTGTCGGTTGTTGTTGTGTTACGTATTTGTTTTTTTCGTTTTTTTTTTTTTTTACTTAAATTAGGCCGTAAGTTTTCCTCGTTTGGATTGTTTTACATTTGTCATTTCGAGGACTTTTGATAGGTGACTATGCGGTATGGGCTTTGCTTATTGTTGACGGCCGTACGGTGACCTATAGTTGTTAATTTCTGTGTCACTTGGTCTCTTGTTGAGAGTTGTCTCATTGGCAATCATACCACATCTTCTTTTTTATATGTATACCTACTTTCGAATATTCAATTGTATCTATAAGCAGAACAAATACAAATTCTCTTATCAAATATGCCTCCTTTTCATTCAATATGCAATTGTGGATAAAAACAGAAAAAAAATATGTTGAAGTCTGTGTATTTTCTTTTAGTTCTATAATTAAGTATATTTCAAAAGAAAAAATACAAAATTGTTAATCCTGTATACATCCTTTCAGTTCTATTATTGAATATATTCAAACAGAACAAATAAAAATCCGTTAAGCCCGTATACCTCCTTTCAATTTTATTGTTGTATATATCAACAGAACAAAAACAGTAGTAACTTGTCCCATTCATACTTAGTATAATCATATAAACACTTAGGTTTCAAATATCAATTTAATTGAACTTTAAACTAAAATCACTGATTATAACTTACTAGGTGAATCATTGGTAATTTGATTGTGAACTTAAATGCATGCTATTTTGAAGTCGTAAGTTTTAGTACTGTAAGAATAAAATCTGGATAAATTACATGGATTTCGTGTATTTATCAGCATGAATAGTCGAATTAATGAAAGATAAGCTAGATTGTTTGTTAAATCGTAAATCAACTTAAACAAATACGCAAGTAAAATTTTTCGAACCACTCTGTACGGTAAAACTTACATCAAGATGTAAATACATACTGCGTTTCTTAAATAGTCAGTTCAATTAAAACATTCTAAAAAAAGTATAATAAAAAATTCAAGATAAATTCAAGAAGGGGGCAGTCCATAAAAGCTGACATTAATAAACCACGTTATCAACCAACGGAACGCGTGAAAAACAAGTGTCATATTCCTGATCAATTTAAACCATAAGAAAATCCTAAAAAAAATCTTACTTTAACGACGAAGATTTATTTTTTAAGGTGGATCCCTACAGATATAGCAATTTTTTTTTCACCATTGAATTGTTCTTAAAATTTGCATACATATACTATGCAATGGCATCTATAAAAATTTGAGTTAAAAATAGTATGTCACTAGACTCGTTTCCATGGTAACGGTCACCAAAGTTGGTACATCACGTGTATGCATAAATACATACCTGATGTAGAAACTCTGAATTTTCTTCAAGCCTTTGAAAGTATTTTGAAAGGTTTGTTCTTCATTTATTACAAAATGAACATTACAAATGGAAATAAAACAAAAACAATGGCAGTGTTATTCATATTTATTAATTTCGCCTCAAATTTCATCAACACTGCTTGCACACAAAAAACACAGATTTTGTTAAAAATTTCTATTTTTCTTAAATTTCCAAAAAAAATGGTCCAATGAATATTTTTTTTAAATTTGACATAAGATGGTCAAAACAATGAGCTTTGAAAAAACAAAAAAACAAATATGGGTCACCAGACTATTTTTTGACCTAAAAACGTTTTTGTGACGCCTAACGACACAGTGATCAACAGCAGTTCTTTGCATATCTTTCAAAATTGTGTGCACAAAGTGTGCCACATGTTGTCATATCCTTTGTTAAACTTACACAGAATAATACAGTTTCACAAGACAATCAAATGAAAGCAATTTTTGTTTCTACGAACAATGGTTACCATGGCAACAGGACAAGAAATTGAAAAATTCAAGTTTTTGCATTGTTCTGATGTGCAAGAGTAACTACATAACAGACTTACAGAGATCAAATACCATGATTTCAGAGCTATAACACATGACTTCTATGTAAATGTAAACACATATTATGATAATGCAGCTTATATAAGCATTACTGTGGTCTAAATTAGCAAAGCAAATTACTCAGCAGTTAGCGAAAATCACCATATATTTTTATCTTTCAATTATCGATTCATAGATACCAGTCATGCAAGTAAATGGATTAAAAAAATGTCAAGACTTTGTCACCCTGTCCTCAATTAATGATTTAAGTTTAATGAAGCATAATAATAATACATTATATATTTTCAGTTGTCAAAGTAACATAAGCAAAAAATGATGAAATTATAACTTTTTCAAAGGTTTTTTCAACTTTCTTTAATTTTAATGCCTCAACAATTAAGCAAAAATATAGACTGTTATATTTAAAAATATGTATATAGTTTACTACTCTGATTCAGTCAAATACTGATTGATAGTCATAGCATAATTAGAGTTCATTTTGTTCCCTGTCAAAATTGTCAGTCCTTCAATCCATATTGAATAGTACAGGTTGCTCCCATTCATATATATCATATTACTATTAGTGCATTACGAAAAGAAAATACCAGTAATGTTGCTCCCTTCATTTGAAATGTCACATCTTGGCATATTACATCTCTGGAATAGGTTTGATCCACTGACAGCTGCAACCTAAGTAATGTCACTATTTCTTAAAAGACGTCTTGTTTGAAAATCAAATTTTACACATTGATCTATATATATATATATATTATAAAGAATATGAGAAGGAATTTGCTGAATGTCATAAGCACTAAAGCATTGTAGTTTCCTTCAGTTTCTATTTCATATGTCATGTATGTTGTTCCTTCTTTAACATTTGAACTACATGGGGCCGTCTTTCTACTCTTTTTATTTCAATTCTTCTCTTTTCAATTCTGTGTTTTTTGTTATCTCTTTGCCTCTCCAATTTCGAATTCATACTTTCCCAAACTTTCAGAGAAAATTTGCCGGGGGAACGTTCTGATGCTGCATTTACCTGAAAGTTTAATTTATTTATTTGTAAGGAAAATGTGTAATATATATTATTATAGTGCAAAATTAATACAATCATGTATTAAAACATCAATTTAAAAAGATTATATACGTGACTAACAAAGGTACACATTAAGCGTTTAATACCATAATGTGATATATGGCCAGGTTTCTGAAGTGATTGCAATAATTAGGGCACCTGATGGGTATGCAATTTTATATTGTTTCTGCATATGATGTACATCCTTTTTAGTGTTTTTTTTTTAATGTTCAATGGCAATTTGGAATGAAATATAAGTGACAATATAGGGAACATTATAGTGTCCAATACAAATGCAAATTCAAGGTATATATTTAATAGCTGTGACCTTGACCGTTTACCTTAAATCAATACAGTTGAACTGTTCTTTTTGGTATACATTTACATATACAGCATGTGACCAAGTTTGTGATAAACATAAGTAATCTACATCACATAGTTAGCTTCATTGTGGCACATAGGAACCAGTGGCAGTCTTTATAATATACCTTATTTATACCCTTTATTAGATAATAAAATAAAGTACAAATCAATAGTGTAAAATGCGGATCACTGTGACCTTCTTTTGCCTGGAAGCTGAGGTACTGACTGAGACTCTGGGAGTCATCTGTGTATATAAGTTTGCATGATCTGACACCTTTAAATATGGTTGCTGAGATATGAAATTGGATGTTTAACATAACCAAAGTCAGTGAAGTGGCAAATGTATGTCATCTTTGTACAAGTTTACATGATCGTACAATTTATAGTTGATGAGATATGAACTTGTGCATTTCAACTTGAGACAAACTAAAATCTACTAAATCTATTGTCCAAAAAGAAATGTTTATGCCACCAAAATACCATTATCAGATTAAAAAGTATCAAATGAAACCTCAATTTTTTTTTTATTGGTAACTACATGTAATTATCCTAAAATGTATGTATTTACCATTGACAGCCATTTACATCCTTCATTTTTCTGTAAAACTGCTGCTAATAACCTGCTGTTCTTTTAAGGATGATGATCCACCATAAGACCTACAATTGATAAGAAATATAATAAAAACCATATTGAGAGTAAATTTATATAATTATAGGATTCATAATGAGTGAGACTTTTATATTACTTGTTATCAACTTCGGTTGTTCAATAACAAAATAATAAAAACAATGATAAACGAGCCATTTAAAAAAAAAATATATTAACTATAAATTCACTCACAAACTGAAAAAAAATCATATTCCATATAATAACATGAGCATTGCAAAGTATGGCATCCCATCACCATAGAAGACTGTTGCTTCTAAAGATTTCACAAGGGTGTTTAGAATCTACAAGGTCCACTTTGACCTTGACATGTGGGCATTTCTTTTCTATTAATAAAGTTAAAGCCTTAATTCTTTAAATTTACCTGTATTACTTTCATAGTTCCAACCAGTACCAAACATTTGCTATTCAGCAACAAAACTGGCTTCAACCTAATGACAAAAAGTAGTACAATATATATTAATGAAAGTACATGCAGTGTTCAAATACTATAGCTAAAACATATTACATTTAACATTAACTGGAAACTAAGGCTGTCAACAATGAAATTTGTAATAATAATGTATAAAGGCTTTCAAAACCAAATCGGGTTTATTAAATTTGTTGAAATTATCCATAAATATAGATTTCATTTAATAAATACCAATGTAACTAATTCTAGTTCAATATTTTTGTTGAAACAAATTCTGTCATGATCTATACATCAAAGTCTTCACGTATATATAACACTGCTTTACCAAAAAATTAATTTAAAATATTGACCCTAAACTTGAAATTATTACCAAGATCTGTTAATTCATTTTTATGACTGCTAGGGCACATATGAATATAATAATGGTCCTCATTATACTTTATATCTATTTTGGTAAATTATCAAAAAAATACTTTGAAATTATTTAACTAAAGATTTAATTACCTTCCAATTACTCATTATATTAACCATGTTTAACACTGTTTCTTCTCCTGATTTACTTTACAGGATTCTTTTGCAACTGCAAATATTTTCTTTCCGGTTTCATTCTCCTTTTTCTTTATGGTGGATGAATTCACAGAAAGTACATTCAATCCATTAAGAAAATTGTTAAAATGTGTGGCAATAATTCCTGAATGTATCATTCCTGAAAAATATGATATGAAATGTCAGTCTGGGCATTGGTTAATTAGATTAACTATTTAGACTTTTGAGTTTATAATTTTATTTGGAATATACAATTGTTTTTTTTTTAATTTATATTTATATAATATGATTGTAAATTCATATTTTCCTTTATTCTTATAGATCACAGACTCATATAAATTTCTGATAATGTGGAGTGAGGGTGGGTGTGGATTGCATGCCCCTTCCTCATTTTCTTTTTTCCCTTCATTCATTATCCTGCATTCTACACATCATTATATCTGTGTTTTTAAATGACTAAATTTATAAGGTATCAGACCACTTGGTCTATGATCACATGCAAAAGATGATTAATATGAACATTCTGATTATAAGATAAAAACAACTAATATTTCAAGTTTGTAAAACATTATTTCTGTGAATGAATCATTGTGACTGTATTTGTTTTCTTTTTCAATTCTTATTTCATTTATGATAAATTGCTACCAAATAATTATTTACAAAATAATCCTCCCCTTTTGGATGCAAAACTAAAAAGCCCCTCATGCTGTTGTCTGTCTGTTCATTGCAAAAATGATAAATAAATTAACTTCCAGGGACAAAATTCCAGAAACATTACTAAGTCCAGCTTCCTAAAACAGTTGGGCAACACTTCCTCTCAAAACTATGCTTTTTACCCTCAAACCACACAAACCCCAGACCATAATAGAGGGGAATTCAAGAAAGAAAAAGCGAGGTGTGGGGCAGGTTCATTTATACAAGACATGAAACCATACACCTTCTCAACCCAGTAAAATGTGTAAAGAGAATCTAGAGAGAAAATTTAAATCTCTTACCAAGTGCAGCTTTTGAATTGATAACAAATCCACCAGTCCCATTTCTTTTCCTGGTATCTACGCTGTAACATATGCATGGTATGCAGGTTACATGCACTGCAGCTACTACAAGGTAGCATGGTATGGACAAAATGCTCCACTGCTTCCTCCTCCAAGGAAGTATTTCTGTTTGCAAAAAAAAACAAACTGACAATGCCATGGCAAAAAAGCAATAAAAAAAAGACCAAAGACAAATAGCCGACTATGTAGCAACAATACACAACATAAAAATAATAAATACAAAGTAACACGAACCCCACAAAAAAGTAGAGGTGATTTTAGATGCTCCGTAAGTATTAGCATAAGGTTTCTAGCTGTCCTTTTTTTAAGTTGAGATAATATCATAAATACCAAAGGCTAAGCTTTACAGAAACCAAACACACTGAAGATATTGTGTTTTTGTCCAGTGAATCAGTCCCTTTTTTCGAGGTTAGATAGGATTTTATCAAGTAAAATTACATGCAATAAACTCGTTCGACTCTTAGTTAGCAAATATATTAGTTGTGACCAACATTTCCATAAATGTTTGGATATCAAATATCCAAGTGGAATAAAGATAAGAGATCTTCAAGAAACACCGCGTCTGCTTCATGCCTTCCTTTTTTATATGATATTGACTCAGATGAATGACATCAAGCTTGAATCTGTGACACACGTGATGATTTGAAATTTCTAAATATCGACATTCCATTTATCAGCCGGAACTTTTTTACGAGATAACTGTATTGTATTCGAAACTGTACGGACGTACATCGGTAGTTTTACTGTCGCAAAGTAACTTCACCTAGCGACACGTAGAGAAGACAGGTAAACGGATATATGTTGTTTGATGCAATATGTATGTGTCTAAACCCAACAGTGACATGTTTTCGAGCTATAAACATCAGAATTGTTCTCCCATTTGTATTTTACCGAGAATGTCATATTCCCAATTAAGTCATTTGACTGAATGTGTACTTGCGTTGGGAGTGAAGCAGTCATAGCCGGCAATACCTGTTCCCGTCCCGTTGCACCTTTGGAAGTTTATGCGATTCCCCCAAGCTTTTTTTATACTTTCATTTGTCTTTTCAATCGATTAATGAACATCAGTAAACTTCTGCTGCTTTTATTTATCCCTGATTATCCAACGTTCTTTCAATTTTATTCAAGTTTGTTTTAACCGCAATCGAAACAAAACTTGTCTTTTATTTTACTTAAATTTAATGTGGTGAACGATTAACCGTCGGACGGACCAACTTTCGAATACCTAAATCATTAACCGATTAATTGGTCATGTTTCAATTTTACCAGTTTTGATTTAATTGATATAAGAAGATGTTGTATGAGTGTCAATGAGACAACTCTCAATAGTATAGATTGAAACCATACAAACAATATATGGTCATTGTGGCACTTAGTGAATCAAGTATCTAGTTCAATTGTGACATAATTAACAATGAATGCATTTAAATGTTATCTACATCAATTAGCACGAAGGCTCTTTGTCTAATATCAGCTTGGAACAAGTAAACATAATTTGTAAAGCGTACATTAAACAGTCTAAGCTGATCATATTCTACGCTCATGTTGTTAATTTAATTATAACTATATATTGAGTGCACGTAAATGTACAATTGTAAATCATCCAAATCTGAGGATTGATCATATACAAACGAAATCTGATGCAAAAATAGTGAAATGCAGACTTGGTGTATACTGGTCGTTCCAGTACTAGTCAGACATGAACTATGCATAATGTTTTAGGAAACGGAGAGAAGATGCCCTTTAATATATCACACTACAGACATTTTTTTTTGTGATTGCTTGAACATAGTTTATGCATGTTCAGGACGAAAACAAAACGACAATTAATTTAATGTGCAATTTCCTGCAATTGAGGTAGATCAGCATTGGGGGCCGGACATGTGTGCTTCTTGAAAATGATGAGAAATTAAATCTTACAACAGGCCACACACGGACCCTTCAAAAAGTTGCTACAAGTGTTATAACGTGCGAAGAGCGCGACACATTCTCTACTCAGTTAAAACTTGCTCACGTGATTTTACATGAATCTCACATGTAATTCACGTGAAAAAAATCACGTGAGATTCACCTAAACGAGCTTATACATGAAACTTACGTGAACTTTTCACGTGAATTGAGATTCACATGAATCTCACATGAAAATTTTCACATGAATTTCACGTGAACATTTAACAAAAAAAGGATTGGTATTTTTCATGATTTTGATTAAATTTGAAAATTTAAATGTTATTTGAATATTTTTTTTTTTAAATTCATGTAAATTTCATATGAAAAAAATTAATGTGATTTTCATGTGAATTCACGTGAGTTTCACATGAGATTCACGTGAAACTCATATAACTGATGTCACGTGAGTTTTACGTATAAGCTCGTTTAAGGTAAAATTCACATGAATTTCATTTGAGATTCACATGAATTTAAATTCACGTGAAATTCATGTGAGTGAAATTTGCCTGTGTACATGAGGCATAGGATTAAATGCCCCCTTTCTGACCAGACGTGTAGGTAAATCATACAGACCACACAATCAAACGGACCTCAGTAACCCTAAGCGTACATGTTATGTGAACATTAATCCTCAGACTGCTTAACAGAAAAATCGGACGAAAGATTATACGAGTAACCGGTTAAATAAAAATGTTCAATTTGACAACACTTTTTTAAATTTAACTAAACAAATGTTCGTGTACTGCTGTTATAACGTGTAGGATTTTTAATGAAGCACTTATTATAACAAAAGTGAATTCAAAAAGGGGAAGTCCATGGAAAACAAAATTTGAAGAGCTGATCAAACCAAAAAGGATCTAAAGTATAGCCAAATAGAAATATAACCTAAAGTATAATCCCTGAAAAAGTATGAAAACTGCGCCAAAATATGTATGTCATATTTGTCATTCACGCTTGTTTTAATCGTTTGCTGTTCATTGTCGAGTTCTGTTCAACGAATACAACACAACACTTATGGATCAGTAATAAATTGGGGCTTAGAAACAAACAACCCGAAATTCATCAGTGGCTCAGAGTGGTTTCGCCTGCCCAGTTTTGCTTCTGTTGGAGTTTATGCTTATCCATTGCTTTATATCTTAACCTATATTTGTAAAATAGAATAGAAATGGGGTATGTGTCAAAGAGACAACAACCCGACCATAGAGCAGACAACAGCCGAAGGCCACCAATGGGTTTTCAATGCAGCGAGAAACTCCCGCACCCGGAGGCGTCCTACAGCTGGCCCCTAAACAAATATGTATACTAGTTCAGTGATAATGGACGTCATACTAAACTCCAAATTATACACAAGAAAATAAAATTAAAAATGATACAAGACTAACAAAGGCCAGAGGCTCCTGACTTGGGACAGGCGCAAAAATGCGGCGGGGTTAAACATGTTTTTTGAGATCTCAACCCTCCCCCTATACCTCTAGCCAATGTAGAAAAATCAAACGTACAACAGTACGCACAGTAAAACTCAGTTTAAGAGAAGTCCGAGTCCGATGTCAGAATAGGAAACAAAAGAAAATAAACAAAATGACAATAATACATAAATAACAACAGACTACTAGCAGTTACTGACATGCCAGCTCTAGACCTCAATTAAACTGATTGAAAGATTATGTCTTCATCATATGAATATCAGGCACAATCCCTCCTGTTAGGGGTTTAGTATTATACCGTCATAAAATATATGAGAAGATCATAACCCGTGTCATGCCAACAACTGGTTTTAGAATAAATATGTTTAATTCCGATGCAAAGACTCTATAAGTTAATCAATATTTGTATATACTTAGTTGATATATGAGATATGAAAATCGGTAAACTACTCATGTCTCTTAATTATTCAAAACAGTATACCCTGTGCGACTAAATCGAAACTGCAAAATATTAACCTATGGACTTTGTATCTATGTACACATCAGTTTTGTCGAGCACAGCAGGTGAGGTTTAAATCCATAAATGAAAACATACACTTACCTCAAACCTCCATTTTAATGCAATGTTATCCGAATTTGGAGCATAAACGTACCAGCATAACCTTCAGCTTGAGAGTTTCCATTCGTATGACGTAAATACGCCTAGGGCATTAATGGCATTTCGCG